GCGACTATCAATTATTAAAATGGCATAATCAAGCTACTAAATATTTGCCTTATAACAACACTGGAATGTTAGGGCTATTCGCGCCCATCTTTTATTTAAACTTTTAATTGTGGCTCTGTCTGTGAGCGCCTTCTCTTTGTACAATATACAACAAAAACAAAGAAAATGTTCGCAGATTCTAAAATATTTTTTGAGGAGGGTGGGAGGGGGGGGTGGAGCAGCTTTAAATGCAATCGCTAAAAAAGAGACTATAGAGGAATAAATGTACGCCAAAAACTCTATTCTTAAAACTACGAAAGTGCACAGTACTGGTGTACAGGTGCAGATATTAAGGATAAAATGTTTTCATAATATATTTAGGATAACCTGAAAGCTTTCACATCAAAATACCCAAAGAATATTGTTTTTCAGATATCATTTTTTTATTTACATAGAACAAGTTTACAAAATAATTTAATCTTTTAAAAAAATTCCGTCTTGTCACAACCATCCGAATTTGGAGGTAGCCGGTCAACTTGCGGTCAACTAGCTGAAGCATGATGCAAACTCCATGCAATGCTGAGTTGTTTGTATTTCTTCTCAAATAGCAATACATTTTCTTTCAAAAAGTTTAGATTTAAAGTTTAGAGCATCGTTTTAAACCCCCGCATGGTAATAGAAACCTAGTTTCATGATTGGATTTTGTGCAATTTTTATAAAGAAATAGTATATTTAAAGATAAAGAAATTAAGAATTTCAAGACTTTAATGTTGACAATTACTATTTATAGGGACTGTAATAGAGTGTAGACTAGATTTAATGACCCTTAAATTATAGAGTTACAAGTCTGATTAACAAAATCACAATGGTACGCTTTAAACCTTTGAATGGTCATAAAATGTGAAATTGTTTTTCCATTTAAAAATGATAAATCCCAATTGTGGTTCTCTATAATATCGACAAAAATGTTCTGAATTAACAGTATGTAACCGCGTAAACTGGATTTTCTCAGACTTGTCATGAAATCTAAAGTAGAGACGCTACAAGGTCACAAAGTCGTACAGGTAATGTAGAGTAAATTTAGCATGTTTCTTCTGTCCAGTTCAGTCCCTTTAATATTGAAGGCCTGATATCCCATTAATATTGAAGGCTAATATCCCTTTAATATTGAAGGCCTGATATCCAGTTAATATTGAAGGCCTGATATCCATTTAATATTGAAGGCCTGATATCCATTTAATATTGAAGGCCTGATAAAATCGTTTAAGTGCGGGTAAACGGCGGAAGGACCTGGGCAGCGCTGGGTTCCCAATCTAGTATATATATATCAATACATACATATAAAATATTCTGTTTATAATGAGTATAGATATTAAGATACAATACATGTAAAATACTCTGTATATCGAGTAGATTAATGCATGTAAAATATTCTGTATATCGAGTAGATATTTAGATATATATATTTATATATAAAAGATATGTATAGATGTACATCTGTCTCAAGAAAACTCATTAGTGGACTTAAGAAAATTGATCTCTATTTGAAACCAAACGTATATTTGAAGAGAGTTAGGAAATGTCAAAACTGGAGACATTTTGAAAACGGAGTGAAGGGAGAGGGGGTAAGAAAAGCGGGGGAGGAGAACGAGGGGGGGATTTTCATTTTCGTAGGGGTAGGTCTATATGAGGTCTATAGAGCCATACAATGGTGTCTTTCAACGAATCCACTCACTCAACATTAGAGTTGTCTAGGGGTCAGTTCAAGCCTTATAATCAGCAGAGGGGAGGTTCAAGGGTTCCAGAGAGTATACATATATACAGAAGTGTTTCCTAGTTCCAGAGAGTATCCATTTATACAGTTGTGTTTCCAGATAACAAAGAGTATATACATCAATATATACAATAGTGTTCCTAGTACCAGAGAGTATACATACATACAGAAGTGTTTCCTAGTTCCAGAGAGTATCCATTTATACAGTTGTGTTTCCTGATAACACAGAGTATATACATAAATATGTACAATAATGTTTCCTAGTACCAGAGAGTATTCATACACCCTAAAGTGTTTTCTATTTTCAGAGAGTGTATATTTATACAGTAATGTTTCCTGGTAACAGAGAGTATACATATGTACACAATACAGAAGGGTTCCAGGGTAACAGAGAGTGTGCATTTATACAGAAGGTATTCCTAGTGCCAGAGAGTATACATGTAGCAAATGCCTTGCTTCAACAAGTTCTGTTAATTCAATATCAATCCGGATACAACCTCCGTATCCGTCAGTATCTATTAATCAGGATACAACCTCCGTATTCGTCAGTATCTATCAATCAGGATATAACCTCCGTATCCGTCAGTATCTATCAATCAGGATACAACCTCCGCATCCGTCAGTATCTATCAATCAGGATACAACCTCCGTATCCGTCAGTATCTATCAATCAGGATACAACCTCGTATCCGTCAGTATCTCTCAATCAGGATACAACCTCCGTATTCGTCAGTATCTATCAATCAGGAACAACCTCCGCATCCATCAGTATCTATCAATCAGGATATAACCTCCGTATCCGTCAGTATCTATCAATCGAGATACCACCTCTATATTTGTCAGTATCTATCATTTGAGATACCACCTCTATATTCGTCAGTATCTATCATTTGAGATACCACCTCTATATTCGTCAGTATCTATCATTTGAGATACCACCTCTATATTCGTCAGTATCTATCATTTGAGATACCACCTCTATATTCGTCAGTATCTATCATTTGAGATACCACCTCAATATTCGTCAGTATCTATCATTTGAGATACAACCTCTATATTCGTCAGTATCTATTAATCAAGATACCACACGCTCTAGAACTCAGTGTTCTACAATAATACCTTAGTATGTATCAATCCAGATACAACACTCTCTGTATTTCTCAGTCTTGTATCTATCAATCGAGATACAACTCGAGCCTGCTCTCTGCTTCTCTACACGAGAATTAATATGTGTCTAAACATAATGAAGCAAAGATTCATGTCCAACTGTTCTATATTTCGAATTTGATAGTACATGTTAAATTAATGAACGTAATTAAAAGATTCGTAATACATGTTTATTATAAGGACCGAAATTAGAAATTAACGAACATAGTTAGGGTACAGATAATAAATAACGTAATATATATATAGGTATATGTTCAGGTTTACAAATATGGGGTTTAATGATGAATAAGGCTTATTGCATTTTGAGAGTTCAGATAAATATTGCGTGCACACTGTAGGAAGGGGGGTAATTTGTGAGATCAATTTATGCCAAATAACACATTTTTTATAGTTCTTTCAGACCCTTTTTCTAGACTTTCGTAAAAGCTAAAATTTATCAAAATCTAACAATCGGAAATTGATTTTGTTTGATTTAGTTTGGCATTGATAAAGTCTGGCATTTTAAGGCAGCATATTTGACACACATTTGATGCAACAGATACAGATCTCCAGAGCCTGTAATTTAAAAGAGTATCGTAGAACGAAACTTCCGGGTTTCCTTTTTGGGGTCTTAACATTTGTGTAGATTTTTTAAGAGATTCGAAAAAATGGAGAATATAAACAAACTGAATTAAATAATATTTCATAACACACAAATTTATAATCAGAAAACTGCCTAACTAACCCCATTCATGAAACCCGGGTTTTAAAACTGGTTTTAATAACGATACTCTGTCTTAAGTTTTGGGTTCTGATGACAAAACTTAAGACAGGGTATCCTCATGAAACCCAATATCGGAAACCAGTGTTCACGAATGGGGTTAGGCAGTTTTGAAATATTATTTTACATGGTTAGGTCTATGTTCTCTTTTTAATTTTTACTTCTTGTTGTAAATCTACACAAATGTAGATATCCCAAGGGAGTTTCGTTCAACGATAAACTCTTTTTAAATTTCCCGCTTAGCTGACGCAGAACATAAATAATTAAACCTCTGTACTTAATAATTATGGTTATTTTTTGTATAAATGTTTCTGCGTGAATTTAAAAAATTATTTGATTTGATCTGAAATAGACTATAGATAGTTTTATTGATATACTAGATAGATAGATAAATAAGATTGCTAGAAAGGATCAGACATTTAGACAAATAGATGCACACCAAATAGATAGAAATTAGATAGAAAATTGATAAACTTATGCATAGTTCTACTGTAATTTATGAAAAGTTATACTGTAACTTATACATAGTTCTACTGTAATTTTTGCATAGTTCTACTGTAATTTATGCATAGTTTTATGTCATTTATTCATAGTTCTACTGTAACGTATGCATAGTTCTACTGTAACTTATTCATAGTTCTACTGTAACTCATTCATAGTTCTACTGTAACGTATGCATAATTCTACTGTAATTTACACAAAGTTCTTGTAGTAAATAAACGTATCTCATTTATATCTTTGTAACCCGAAATATAGCAGTTCTAACAATACTATCCAGATCATATATATATCTGGATAGATAAGAGGAGAGTTTGAGACAGCGCATTTATGCTGGTAGAGACAAAGAAAGAGTTTAGGCATTTTCTATATACTGAAACTTATTCATATAGTTCTTCTGTAACTTATTCATAGTTCTTCTGTAACTTATTATAGTTCTACTGTAAATTAAACAGTTATACTGTAACTTATGCAACGTTCTACTCTAACTTATGCAAAGTTCTACTGTAACTTATACATAGTTCTACTGTAACTTATACACAGTTCTACTGTAAATTACACACAAGGATACTATACTTATGCATAGTTCTACGAGTTCTACTATGACTTAACGTACATAAATAATTCTTCTGTAACTTAAGCAGACTTCTACTGTAACTTGTAGTTCTCGTTAACTTATACATAGGCCTCCTTTAGCTTTTAAATATTTATGCTGTGAATTACACATAGTTCTAATGTAACGTATACATCTACTGTAACAAATAAACAGTTAAATAAATTCTAACTTTTAAAACTTTTAGAATAAATAATATTTGTTTCTAATACGCTTACAAGTATTTATTCAGGATGAATGACAGTGATTAAACAAAACTAAATCAGAATGAATACAATATTAATAATACCATTAAAACCGGGTTAAAAAAGAAAGGAAGAAAGGTTCAACAGAAGAATCTGAAGAAAGGCTGAACAGAAGAAAATATAGAAGAAAGGAATAGAGTTTGAATTAGCAGGGTTTGAGAGGGTAGAAATAAAAAGAATGCTAAAAATGTCCGGAAATACACATGAACTAAGTTTAAATGAAATAACAAGGACTTTGACATGAAAATTGGAGAAGTATAGTGGGAGGGGGATATAAATGGAGAGATTTTAGATAGAAAGCTAGCAGAAAGAAAGAGGGCCCCCGAGTTTAGATTTGATATTTTTAATTCCATGAAAAATGCGCAAACATAGGGCTTAAGTTTTCATGAAGGGCTAAGGCTCAAAGAATGCATATAAACCCGCAGATTAGAATAGACAGAATTCTACGCAGATTAGAATAGACAGATTTCTACGCAGATTAGAATAGACAGATTTCTAGGCAGATTAGAATAGACAGAATTCTACGCGGATTAGAATAGACAGATTTCTACGCAGATTAGAATAGACAGATTTCTACGCATATCAGAAAAGACAGATTTCTACGTATCGAGAGGTCAAGAAAAAGTTACGAGGATTAAAAACCAAGATGCTCAATATACTGAAAGCAAATATATATAATTACTATCTAATCAATAAATATCACAGAGCTAGTTTTGGCAACAAATGGAAATAAGCTGTACAGTGTACACTGTACATACTGTGCAATGTTCATTATATATATCTTCAGTCACTATTATGTTCTTCAAGATATAGAATTCATGATTGCTAATGTTTTGTTTTCACAACAAAAGAATTGATCAGTAAAGATCATAAAGTGATCGTTAGAAGAGATCGTAATGAAGAAACTGTCTCGGGAATTAAGTAGGAAATGATAATTGAAAAAACAGCCACAAATAGCGGTCGTTTTCTTGAAGATGCCGTCGAAGCTCCCTGGATCGTATTGTCGATCTCGACTTGAGTTTCAACCTCTTTCTTCTTTCCAAAGCAAAGCGTGTCGGTATTCTCCCTGATTGTCGCACAGTCGAACTCCTCCGTTCCGTCGCAGAAACAAGTCGCGAGTTTTCCCGCAGATTCTTGTCGCAGCAAAATATCAAGGGAATTGCGACATTTTCTCGAACATTTTCTTCCTTTAAACATCGCCTTACAGTTCCTGTTATAGTAATCTAGCGCAGTAGCACAGAGAGGGTTTGCTAGACAGATCCAAGTAGCAGCTGAACAGCTGACAAGCGTGTTAGGGTCTGATTGCCAGGTTACAGCTGACCTACATGGTTCTATTCTTGTCTTTTTTAGTTCACAATCATTGTTTTCACATTTACATTCCATCATTCGTTCTCCTTCTGGGGTTGAAAGGAGAGCTATGAGAGCATGCTGACAACTTCTAGAACAGGTTTCTGTTATACCGCTGACAAGCTCGCTGCAGGTCAACTCATACTGCTGCAGAGCTGCTCCACAACCATCTCTATACGCGCAGGACATAAACGCGTAGTTGCAACCCACATCAGCAGCCAGGGGCAGCTCAGGTTCTGTATAGTTTGGGAGCAGCTGCGGGACTAGTCCTCGGGAGCTACGGAGACGCCCCCGGCTCCCATCCTCATCTTCATCCTCCCCTCGTCGGTTCTTCCTCGCCAGGTTGTAGTAGGGGAGAAGAAGGAGGAGGATGAATTCAATCCTCATCCTTTTAGCTCAGAATAATCATTTTTTTAACGAAGAGACTTCAGTTGACACCAAAAGGTTCAGATTATCCAGTGTCTGGGGAGTCTGGGTTTTTCTATCCTAGTCCACATAAAGCACAGCAATCAGAGAAGTTTTTAATCTTGAATTATCTGGGTTTAGTGATCGTGTGTCCGTCTCCTCGGAGAAATATATTTCAACTGGTTAAACAAAACTTGAAAGTTGAAACTGAAGGGGATTGAGTTGAGCTGAGGTGGCGCGGACCAACCCTCTTCTCCTCGCGTCCAGGGTGTCAAAGAAAAAGTATTCTCTGAATTTCTGAAAATTTTTAATGAATAACATTCTTCTTTAATATATCTCAGTTTAAAGTTAAATTTGAAACTGTCATATTTCCTTGTAAAAATGTATCCTCAGAGTTGTGCTTTTTCCGTGGGACCCCCTGTATGTATGCTATCTAGCTACCTATCTACCTTGATGTCTTTATCCCTGAGCCGGGTTCAGGTTCTAGAGCTCCAGGTATACCGTATACCAGAATATACCCGTCCTTGGAATATTCATACATTTATCTCATTCTTGGTGTCATCCAACAATCACCGAATTGTTAATTATATTTATATTGATTTTAAATCAATTTCTTCTTATATTTCGTTTTACTCCTCCCCGTATACTACTATAATACCTCTATATTCCTATATATTTATATATATATGTATCAATCCAGA